CCTACTACCCCCCGTACTAGGCAACCAAGGTACCAACCCCTCAATACGGTTATACGGGCCTACTACCCCCAGTACTAGGCAACCAAGGTACCAACCCCTCGATACGGTTATACGGGCCTACTACCCCCCGTACTAGGCTTGGTCGACTCACAACACTTATATAGAGAAAATCATATACATGTGTCCATTTCATCATCATTTCAATAATTATATAACCATTCGATTCATAGGACATACATTGGACCTTCCATTTCCTAAGGATTCTATAAATGGGCATTTTATCAAACACATGATGGGCTATTGTTCATGTAAATGAAATCATGTACTTCAAGAGTACTAAGTCCAACCAATTCCGAAATACATATAAATCAGCCCACCAACAACATACATATATATATATCAACCTTCATAATTTGATCATGGAAGCATGAAAACAATAAACATCACATAATAATTCCATTTCATGATAATATGCAAAAATAGACCATAATAGGATGTGTAGTAGTAATTCCATAATTCAAGAGTTCATAAATAATCATAAGGACCCATAAACTTGAAGTATAAATAGAGAATAAATGGTTGGACTTGTGGAAAGGAAGGTTTCCACAATCAAACCCACATACCTCAACTTGTTCACGAGTATATCAACCTTAGAAATACAATTACATAACTTATTTAACTTCTATTAGCTCAGTAATGTTGACGTAAAATAGGATCATCATCATAAGTAAGCCTAGCATGTACAAATACAACTATGCTCCCAAAACAGTGAATCTGGCCAGCCTAGTACCTCATGTTGCATCCTAGATTTGAAAAGGAAAATGGCAGAACTAGACTTTATAACCTTCATGAAAGATGTAGATACATCTCTTAGGGTTGCAAACAAACAAGGATCACAACAAAATATATTTTGTACAAAAAGATATAGTCAAGACACTAGCCGCTGGTCATGCAGGATTTCAATTCTCGGAATCTGGGCAGAACTTTCCCTATGTTGCGTCCCATATTTCGTATCCATAACAGTTAAATTAGAATTTTACATAAACATAAAAGTTGTAGGTATACGAGTTAGCTTTCCAAATCATATTTATTCACTGCAAACTAAGTTCTAGAGCAAGAGATATGCCTAAAATACCAAACACTATCCAGCTCAAAAACAGGTTTCGTCACTTACATCCGAAAGGAATGCCATATCCTATCGATTCATATTCAACAAAGCTTCTAATGTATCAAGAAGAGGCACCTAAGTCTACCAAGTCAAGACACACATCACATTATAAAGATCCTTCACATTCCATCATCATCACATATGAACAATAATAGAGGACACACTTTCAATCACAATACAATAACACTTTAAACAAGATCACCTTGAGATCACATGAACACCTTTATATTCACAACATGATTGCCTTTACTTCATTTGATTCTCATTCAAGTCCTTCACATCACATTCACATATATGATATCATGTCAACACTTCAATTCCTCCTATAATTCCTCCAAGGCCATAAACACAATACATTCAATAAGTAAACACCTCCACCATAAGTGGATCACACATCAATCTATCACAATTCTATATCAATTCTACCTTAACAATGAAGTTAGGTCCACTTACCCTTTTTCCCAAGCCACAATCACCATTCCTCAACTCTCCAACAATTCACAATAGATAAGCATAGATAATAATAGAAGTCAACTATTCAACTCAATCCAAGCATACTTCCATCATCATTCAATCATAAATAATAAACCCATTTCATAAGCCAACTTTAGGAAACTTGCCAAGACATGGGTTCATGGAAATTTCTTTCTTAAAACCATCAATAGACACCATTAATAACGTAAATCATCAAAAAAAATCATTTAATGCAAGAACCCATACTTAGAATCGAAATTAGGATTTTTGTGTTTTTGGAAGAACTTTGAATCATTTGAATTGAGCTCCTTGAAAGGAAGAATAATCAAGGATAAAGGATCCCCATACCTCTAAGTTGAAAACCCACGAGAATTGAAGAAGAAAGAACCCAAAATCTTCAATCCTAGCTCCAACTTCTTCTTCTTCTTCCCCTCTTCTTCTCTTCTTCACTCAAGAACTCTAACTCTTACTCTTTTAAAATGGAACAAAAATGATCCACAATCAGCCTAACACAATAATATAACCTCAAAAGAAAAGATTTGTGAAAAGACCAAAATGCCCTTAAATTTCCGGACGGACTCCTGCTAACTGCCCAACTTTCAAAGGGCATAACTCGCTCATACGAACTCGGAATCGAGCAAACTCGGTGGAGTTGGAAAGATCGTTCCAAGGGATTTCCAAACATAACTGGAACTACTCCTAGATCATTCTGAGCTAGGAGTTATGACTGTTCAAAGTTGGCCAAAAACTCACTGATTTCCCACACTTAACCAAATTTCCAGGTTACTGAACTTTTTCCAAAAGTGACTACTTCCAATTTCAAGCTACTTCATATTCATTTTAAATTGTCGGATGTAACACAATTAAAACGAAATTACATAAAAACCCCTCATAGAACCTCATTATAAAGTCAACACAAAGTCATAGGCTCTTGCTTAACCTATCATTTTCCGAGTCGTTACATACACACATCCATTTTTATGAGAGGCCAAAAAGTATTCACATAATCAGGGGATTCTATTGGATGAGTAGCCATTCTTTTCTCCATTAGAACAAAATAGCATAACGTGTGTTAGGTTAGGCATCCAATTTGATTAACTCTCATAACAAATTAAGAAGAATCAAAAAATATTTTGGTTGTGAATTACCCATTGTGATTGATTATTATGTAGATTGAAGTTGTATAATTGATTGATGTTATAGAACATTAATGGAAGATAGGGATGGGGATTTTAGAGTTTCCCTTATATCTTCCATTTTTTGTATTTGTGTTGTTATCGGTGGTGTATTCCTTGTCATCTATCTTACCGTGCCTAAATTTTCTCAGTCATGGTTTCTTTTATTAGCATTGATATTGGTTGGCTCTCCATGGCTCTTTTGGCTCCTCACATACATGTACACTTGCATTAAACGTTGTTATTGCAATATTCACAATCCACAAATTTCACGGGACACCTCTAGACCATCCACAATGTCAAATCTTGGAATCCCTAGGAATGTTTCTACCAGAAATTCCACATGTTGTTGTCATCATAACAATAATTATGATGAAAAACATGTCAAATTTGATTGTGTTGTGGAAGTGGACGAAAGTGGACATAGCCACAAAGATGGAGAAAATGCATGAATTGAGTCTTGAAAGGGATAACATTGAAGTGGATCGAGAATTAAAGCTTGATGGATTCATGTTTTAAGCTTCTTATAATTGATCAACGGTTGTTGACATTTTTAGTATTGATATTTATTGCTATATATGCTTCATCTGGAAAATATTGTGTTATTGAAATTATCAAATTAAAACATATGGTCCATTTGTCATGCATGTACATCCCCATACTTCAAGTCAAAAATGATAAGTTCAATTGAATTCATGAAATATATGGTGCATCCATCTCAGAGATTAAGAGTTTTTTATGGAAGGACAGCCCAGCGTACTAAAGCTCTTGTTGTGTGCGGGGTCCAGAGCGAAGAACTGAACCATAAGGCTTTTAGTGTACATAACTTTATCCCAAGAAGTTGCTTCCATGACTTGAACCAACTTTACCAGTTACGGCAAAATCCCGTTCAAGAGTTTTTTTATAGAAGATGTAGAAGACATAATGTTCAATGTAAGTAGAAATAACAGAAATGTATATTTATTATTGTATAGTATATTTTATGTGAATATTAAAAAACGAACCCTTGTTATTTTTTTATTTTCTTTTTCCTCTTGAAACATCAAATTTAACCTAGTCTTTCTTATTCTGATGAATAATGTGACTTAAAAATGTGTTTATATAGTGAACCATCTTGTTATATTGCATATTTGATATTTGGAAGAATTTTTTAAAAAAAAAAAAAAACTAAGTAGATTTCTTATTTATTATTTATTTTTATATATATGGTAAGTAAGCAGAAAATATCTTCATTTTCTTATACTGTGATATTTTGGTCACACGGATAGGTCTTGGTATATAAGGGGTCAAAAGTCATTTCCAGTGAACAAATAAGTTTTGAGGCCAGAGTTCTATAGAAAACATGGTATAAATCAAATGAATTTATGGTACAAAAATAGTTAAGAAAGTGAGTTTACCAAGTATTTTCAATTAATTAAGGGAGCGTTTGAGAAATTTATCCTAAACACATTCTATTGCATTTGTGATTACTTTCAAAAGAAAATCTTAAATGTGTGCTCTACATGGCAGTTAAGGCATAGAGACATGACTTTGGTAGTGAGGTTCTCAAAACATATGATTGAAATCCCCAAGACTAATTGAGTCGGATTACTCCAAAGACACGATCTTGGATGATAGCCAAACAAGATAAGCATGATATGGGCTTGCAGGTCCACTTATCATGAAAGATTTTCATGGATCCATCTGCAATGAGAGAGCAAGTTTCACAAAGGTTGCTCCCTATAAACAGTCGCTTAGTCATTTCACATTTGTAATAAGGGCTCCGCAATTTCTGATTAACATTCAATTTTTACCATGTCATAAGCTTTACAACAAAGGCTCTTACCTCTTTGGCAATTATCATCAAGGCTACACATTCTACTTGCTTTATTATACTTCTTGCACTTGTTACAGATTGTCCTACATTGTTATTTCATTATACACACAATCTAATTTGCCTTCTCTTACACTACTTACATAGCATTTGGCTTACATGCCCCATCTTGAGGGTAATTTTGTCAAATTCAAATTACCCAAACAAGAAAACAAAGGGGGGAAAAAAGAAGATGAAATACCTACTAATATTGAAATTGCCAAACGTTTTTATTGATAAAATACGGATGCCAGTGGGGAGATGGGATTTATCTCATTTAAAAGGCTCCATTAGTGTACAAATTACTGTTACTCACCCGTAGCAAAACAATTTTTCCATGTTCATATAGGACCACAATAGATTAACATTATTGGAGTGAAATAGATGTTGCCTTGTGAGCACTTATTACTCACTGTAAGATGGAGGGTTTTAGCAAAGTTCAAGAAATATCAACTAAACAAACATTTAACAAAACCAGCATCACAAATTTCCTGATGTCTTCCGCACAAACCCAGCAATATCAAAGGTGTCTGTCCCATTCTTCGTGATGACACCCTATTCAAATAGTAGTCACTTGTCAGGTTTATCATTCGACTTATTTGACATTGCCAGAACATATTTAGTGTAGTTTTCCAAGTGCACCATTATACACAGTGCAACTGTGGGATGAACAGAACAATGGGAATGAGAGGCAAATATATCAATAGACTGACCTTTTCAGTGATGATTCCACTAATCAACTTAGCTGGGGTGACATCAAATGCAGGGTTCCAAACCGAAATACCAGAGGCAGCAACTTGTTCACCTAGTCCTCCTCGTGTATGTAACAGTTCCTTTGGAGATCTTTCTTCTATCACAATTTCTTGTCCAGAAGAAAGGGATAGATCAACAGAAGTCAAAGGAGCTGCAACGTAAAATGGTATACCATGATACATGGCAGAAACAGCAAGGTTGTAAGTTCCGATCTTATTGGCAGTATCACCTGCAATAACATGTATAGCTCTCCGTAAAACACTCTAGTTCAAAACCAAAAGGCACATGCGAAAGTAACTCATAAGTCAGAAGTACCATTTGCAGCTACACGATCAGCTCCAACAATGACAGCTTTCACACGACCAGCATTCATTAATGCAGCTGCAGCTGAATCAGCTATAAGGGTGGCTGGGATGTTTTCATGAACCAATTCAAATGCAGTCAATCTGGATCCCTGATATTACATTGAGAAGATATGATTAAGTATCCGTGAGAAATATAGGAAAAGAATATTATTGAATTGTTCTCTCTACATTATTACAGAGAGACCTTGTTTATAGACACTACAATAGACACCTTTTTCCAACTAGGAAACTACAATACAATCCTTTTCTAAGTAGGACACTATATACTATCCTATTACTATTACTATTCATATTCCTATTCTAAGTAGGATTGCATATACCTATAACTATTCTACCACTCTCCCTTAAGCTAGTGCATACAAATCATATGTATCTAACTTGTTACAAATGTAATTAATATGAGGACCGATGAGGAGCTCATCAGAGCTTGATGAGATATCTTCAAGTTGATCACTCGACTTCACAAAATTGGCAGTCAATCTCAACGTACTTAGTCTTCTCATAAAATATTGGATTTGATGTCAATCTCAACGTGCTTAGTCTTCCCATGAAATATTTGATTTGATGCATAATGCCGATAAAACACAGAGTGATAAATTACAGTGTTGAACTTCCCAAACCAAGCTTGCAAAGGTTGTTTCAGACCATAGATTGACTTACGTAATCGACATACTAGATTACTAAACTCCCACTGAGCAACAAAAGTAGGTGGTTGCTCCATATAGACTTCATCACAATGCAGAGGTCGTCGAAAAGTGCTCAAAATCTAGTATAAGTATATGGATCATGTTGGAATCAATAGATGAGTCGATATTAAACAAGTCGCTAAAAATCTGGCCGAAAAAGCTCATATGCCAAAATATTAGATTTGATGGCTAAAAGTGGTCACAATTTAACAAATAATATTATATGGGTAGGGTCGGATTGATGGCACGACCCAACTGAAAAATAGAAATTATATAGGGAAGGTCGGATTGACTGCACGATCCTATTGAAAAAGGGAAATAATATGGATAGGGTCGGAATGATGGCACAACCTTACTGAAAAAGAGAAATTATATAGGTAGGATCGGAATGATAGCACAAACCTATGCAAATCAGATTTGAGGAGTCACCGTTAAGACAAATGGAACTACGCAAATCAAATCTGAGGATTCACCGAAAAGACACACGGTGCTATGCAACTCAGATATGAGAAAATAGTTCAAAAAATCCACGGTACTATGCAAGTTAAATATGGAAAGTAGTCCGGAGAGATGCACGGTGCTAAACAAATAAGATATACAAAAAAAATGTAGTCACCAGAAAGATGACACGGTGCTACACAATTAAACATGAAAAAGTAGTCACCAAAAAGATGGCACTGTGCTACACAAATTAGATATACGAAAGTAGTCACTGGAATGATGACACGGTGGCTACACAAATTAGATATGAGAAAATAGTCACATGAACGATACACGGTGACCCAACTTTTGCTAACATAATCATTTGGCCAGACGGGCAGCATATATGGGTAATAGCCACCCGCCGGCAGCGGAAGATCTTTGATTCTCTGCCAAGATTGTAGAAGCTCTGTACCATGTGAGAAATATAGGAAAAGAATATTATTGAATTGTTGTCTCTACATTATTACAAAGAGACCTTATTTATAGACACTACAATAGACACCTTTTCCAACTAGGACACTACAATATAATCCTTTTCTAAGTAGGACACTATATACTATCCTATTACTATTACTATTCATATTTCTATTCTAAGTAGGATTGTATATACCTATTATTATTCTAACAGTATCTTTCTCTGACTGTCTCCAGTTGGAGGCCAGATGCAGAATGGCTCAAATGGTAGTCCGACAAAATCAAACAAGCAAAGAAGCCTTTCAACAAGGCAAATCAGAAGTATTGTCCACCATCAAATTTCAGTTGAACATATACTATTAGGTATTTGATTCTTCAGTACATGATTACTGAAGCTGTAGTCAATGAGAATATGTATATATTGATCAAGTAGAAAACATGCATTTTCACGGGTTAATCTACGAAAGTCCAATCTTTCTCTCGCACTTATAAACCAAAATGCACATAAGTGGTTCCAATAGAAGAGAAGCACAATATGTATTTATTTTCGGGGATGGAGAAGGAGAGAAGAGTGGTGGTAGTATTGAGTTATAACTCTCAAAACTACTGGTGTTCCTTAAATATGATGCTAATGAACTCAAGAGTTAAATAGCAGTTGTTTAGCATTTCCTATAATAAAATGCTAATGAATACAGGAGTAGGGGTAGCAGTATAACAACTGATTGGAGAAGGTGGATAGCAAGTTTTCACCAAAAATAGAAAAGAAACTTCTTCTTTTCATGTCCCTTGCTTAATTCTTCTTGATTTTGTGTTCCATATATATCTGATATCTCTGTCCAAGGTAGTATGCGTTAACCTATTTTCGTTTGATCTGAGTATGCCAAAAAAAGGCAAAAATCGATGCATCAAATATTCTACTAGACCAATATTTACGTAACGACCCTCAAGGCCGTTTTGTGTTTTTCACTTTTTTTCCATTGTTTGACCCTCCTCATAGCGTTGGTTAGCTGTTTATGACTTGCAGCGATTGGTGACAAGATTCCCAAGGTGATCAGATAGGTTTCGGGAGAGTTTGAGTTTTGAAGTTTGACCAAAGTCCCTATTTGGGGTTGGCGAGGTCTAATTCAAGTTCTGATGATTCCACTAGATTCAGAGGGTAATTTATGACCTAGTTGGAGGTTTGACATGGTTCTCGAGGCAATTGGGGGCTTTTTAGACCCTTGGATGGAATTCTAACATCTCTTAAGCTTAAAATTGACCACTACCAATATATGGTCAAGATGACCTCGAAATGGTGATTTGATAATTTCAACAATGTCAGGAATGTGTTTTATGATCGATTTGCACTACTGGTTTGTGTTTGGGAGGTTTCGACAAATTCAAAGGGCCCATTCCGAGACTTGGGCTGGTTTTGGCATTGTTGTCATCTAGTGCAGTGGTCCTTCTTCGTGTTTGTGAGAGGACCACCACATTTGCAAAGAAGGATGTTTGTGGGTCCTCGCATTTGTGATTGGACATTAACGTTCGCGAAGAGGTAAGGGGTTGGGTCAGGTCACGTTTGTTCTTTGCGGACGCGGGGATGGGGCAGTTTGCAAGGGTCTGGGTCGAGACTCAATTCATTCGCATTTGTGAAGAACACATGACACCTAGGCACATTAAATTCTAATTTTTAACCTAGAATTCTTGATTCATTTTTGGGAGATTTTGAGCTTGAATTGGGCAGATTCTTGAAGTTATTTCAAGATTTCATCACGGGGGTAAGACACTACTTCCCTTTTGGTATTTTCCTAATATGTCATTTATTTAGTTGATTTACCACGTATAGGTAATGGAATTCGGGGATTTTTCTCCTAAAGTTAAGTGAATTCAATTTGATGATTTGAGGGTCGATTTGAACCCCATTTTCGACGAAATTTCAGATTTGAGTTCCCTATGGGTAAACTCATTTCGAAGAAAGCAATCTGCTTAAATTTATTAAATGTGGCCTAAGGACACCGTTTGAAAGTAAATCTACTGTTGAGAAGGTTTGTAGCCTATTGTATTAGTGGTGAGAAAGACATTCTTATATACCTATTGCATTTGAAATTTACTTTATTATTGTGATAATGCATATATATTGCATTTGAAACTTACTTTAATATTGTGATAATGCATATACATTCATTCTCACGGATCACAAGATTGGTACTATGGAAACAACGTTTGAAAGAGAATACTTATAGCCTATGGAAAATGATTTCGGATGGTTCTACTATGAATGGTATTTAGGAAAATGTTGATTATCGTCCGACAGGAAAATATTTTGAGCGGGCTATGTAGATCTCGCGAGTCCTCCAAGGGTCCCCCCTCACAGTGTATTCTGTGGATCCTGTGGAAGGGGGGATGTACACGGTAGGGACATTGGTCATTGCATTGGTCCTTATTTATTTTTTTCATTTTTTTGGGGGTTTCTCACCCGGTGTCCGGTACCCACATTAGAGCCTAACTAAATCCGCATTCGCGTCGGGAAGTCCCACATTAGGGGGTAACGCACTCCCTGACAAAGGCGACTCCATACCTAGGGAGACATGCTTTGACTTAATTGTTGGGTTCTTCTAAGTGCAGGGTTCTTAACATTCTTTATGATATAGTTATTGCCCTTGCTCAATCAACCTTATAATGCCTATTGAATACCATGTTTTTGTACTCATACTACTTTTACAACATCTTTACTAATGCAAATCCTGGTACTAGTGGCCCTTATTGATCTAATCATCCGAGGCTATTTTTGATTCGAAGTTGTGGTAAGCTCCTTGCATCCAAAATCTTGACCCAACTTCAACTATGTTTTATTTTCTGTCTTTTCTACTTTCTAGACAGTTTACTATTTTAGCGGTGTATTTGTTATTAGTGAGCTCTTGTACCGGTGAAACTGAGTCTTGGGATGGCTTCATTTCATCATTTTGTATTATCCTTAAGATTTTGAGTTTTAATACTAATTACTTATTAGTTATTTCTTCCACATTTACTTATAATGTTTCTGTGTTTGCTAATGGTTGGTTTACCTACCAAGGATTCGGGGTATTTGCCATCATGACCTTGAATTTTGGGTCATGACAATTTAACACTAACCACTCAATAGTTACCATCAATATAAGACTGTTATAACTGCCAAGGGGATGAGTTCACTTATGATACCTAGAAACACACTTCACTCTTAATTACCATAAACATTTATTATGACACGGCTAAAAAATTGACAATATAGGGAGAGAAAGAGGGATTTACATATGGTGGAGCAGTATAGGGAGCAAAAGAGGGATTTACATATGGTGTTCATCGACCTAGAGAATGCTTATGACAAAGTCCCAAGGAAGGTTCTTTGGAGATGCTTGGAGGCTAAAGGTGTACCTGTGGTTTACACTAGACATGTACGATGAAGCCAAGATCAGAGTGAGGACAGTGGAAGAAAACTCGAAGTACTTCTCAATCATGATAGGTTGCACCAGAGTTAATCTCTTAGCCCGTTTCTTTTCACATTGGTTATGGATGGATTGACGCAACATATCTAAGGTGAGGCTCCATGGTGTATGTTATTTGTAGAGATATAGTACTGATTCATGAAACTCGCAACAGAGTTAACAATAGGTTGGAGATTTGGAGACACTCTAGAGTCTAAAGAGTTAAGGTTGAGTAGGACCAAGACTGAATACTTAGAATGTAAGATCAGTGATGCTACGCATTAGGTCCGCGTGGAAGTGAGACTTGATGCTCAGGTCATCCCCGAGAGAGGATGTTTCAAGTATCTAGGGTCTTTAATTCAAGGTAATAAGGAGATCAACGACGACATCACATATCATATTGGTGTAGGATAGGCGAAATGAAGGTTTGCCTCCAGAATCTTGTGTGATAAGAAGGTACTACCAAAACTTAAGGGTAAGTTCTACAGAGTGGTGGTTAGACCAACTATGTTGTATAAGATAGTGTTTTGGTCGGTCAAGAACTCACATGCTCACAAGATGAAAGTTAAAAGACGAGAATGTTGAGGTTAATGTGTGGGCATACTAAGAGATAATAGTAGGAATGAAGATATCCGTGACAGGGAAGGAATGCCCTCCGTGGTGGATACAATGAGAGAAGCTAGATTGAGATGGTTTGAGCATGTGAAGAGAAGTGCACATGCCCTAGTGAGGAGGCGTGAGAGGTTGGCAATGGCGAGCATCGAGAGAGGTAAATGCAGGCCGAAGAAGTATTGGGTAGGTGATCACAAGACATGACCCATCTTGAGCTTACCGAGAATATGATCTTAAATAGGAGGGTTTGGAGGTTGCAGATTAGCATATAAGATTAGTTGGTAGTTGAGCATTCTCTCGCTTTCCTGCGGGATAGGATTGGTGATTGATTTCAATTATCACCTATGCTTTTAGTGCTACAACAATCACATTTTTTTGTTGGCATTACTGTTCTTTCTGCTAAATGTTGTGTGTTGCCCCCATTTCACATTATTTAGTTATTGTTACTGCTATCATTTTGCTTGGAAATACTTTATTTTAAGCCGAGGGTTTATCGGAAACACTCTCTAGGTTGGGGTAACATTTGTGTACACTATACCCTCCCCAGATCCAATTTGTGTGATTATACTGGGTATGTTGGTGGCTATAAATTAGCATTACTCTGCAACAGTGAGAAAAAATGCAAAATCTCTATTTTCTGCAGCCTAACAGGGAGAATATAATCATCAATAGGTTAATTGCTATAATATTTACTGGTTGACTCTACCAGGGTTATTAAAATTAGAATAAATTATATCCCATGCACTACCTGATTGAATGGACGTGTTTCTGTGCAGTATGCCCTTTCTAAAGCTCCGTCAGCATAAAGTGCCCGGATAACACCAAGAGCAGTTCCATATCCAGCTGTGGCAAGACTGTTGAGAAACGCAAGTTAAATAAGAATAACTCCATCTGGATATCTAATCCTTATCACAATTGCTTTCGTTAATCCTGTCACAGAATTATATTTTGCAATTTCCGGGAGGAAAATAGGATATGGAAGAAGACCATGCTAAGCCAAGTAGGATAAGAACCAATCAACCATGCAAATAAAATAGAAAACTAGAACTGGGGTGTACCTTCCAGTGTTGCAATGGGTCAAAATTGTTATATTCTTAGAGTCTGTCAGGTAATTCTTAATAAAACTAGCTCCATATGAACCAATTGCCTTATTGGAAGTAACATCATCCTCCAGCATAACTTCAGCAACTTCAATGTAAGCCTGATTGAACAGATGAGAGTTAGAAGTGTCAAGCAACAGACAAAAAGGATAAAGCAAGTTACTAAATTCCTATGGTGAAACTATCCCCAATTAAGTTGTGCCCCTCTTCCAGTCTAGACTTACATTACTGATGAAATTGTTAATATTCAGGCAGGAGAGCTGAGTGTTTGTCAAAGCAAGACAATGTTACTACCTGAAACACTGAATTGGCTTCTTTGGCTGTGGCAGCAGCCTTGCTTATAACTTCTTTAAGCTTTACTGCAGCATCTGAAAGATTAACAGCTGTTGGACGACTAGATGAAAAAAATAAAATATCATCAGATCCTTCAAAGAAGTTGTAACAGCATAGAATTCCACAATTATGAGACATAAGCAGAGAAATATTTTTGCAGTCCTAGTTAAATATTACCTTGAAACAAGAAAATCCAATTTTTTACTTAGGAAAACTGATGCATCATGAGAAGTCCCATCAAAGGAAGCTAGGTTTGAAATTTCTACTGCCAAAGACAGTGCAGCAGCTATAGCAATTGCTGGTGCCCCACGGACAACCATTTCCTTGATTGCATCCCTAGCATGTATGAAGAAGGCAAGTGAAAAAGCAGGTCACTCAATATTCAAGAACCTTGTTAGGCATCATCACAACAGTTGGCAAATCCACATACAAGATCATTTATCCGGGAAAACATATGCACTAGCAAGAGCAACAACATTAATGTTTCATGAATCAACAAGGACTCAATTCCAAACAAACTTGAGAACTGTTACATGAATCATCTACTACCATTCCACTTTATTATTTGTTATATTGTAAAAAAATAAATCATTTAGAATATTCGGGAGCAACAACTTTTGAGATAGATAAAAAAAAAATAGTGAAATAAGGTATGCAATACAAGAAGTTTGGAAAACAAATTAAAGATAACAAGTGAAAAAATTACCAGGCATCGTTTGTATCGTGGATATCCAAATAAAGAGTCTCTAAGGGAAGTTTTCTCTGTTAAAGAAAATAGTTAAATGTTAAGTAGACAGTGGCAAAAAGATGAAAACAACAACCCTAGGAATCGCCAAGTTACAATCATTAGAGTTTGATTAAGGAATAAAAAGAGAGTATAGTAGAATACTTGATCAAGTAACTGAAGTGAGCCGCGCCTATAACAGATTGCCTCCAGTGTTTTGTCCCCTTCACTTCCAACAGACATAGTTATCGAATGTTGTGTGTACAGAAACCCTAATTCGCTGATTGCCTTGCTCAGGGACCAAACTTATATAAGTTAAAAACAAGAATAAGATGATAGGATCCACATAAACAGTCTTTCCATTGAAATAGAATAAGCATAAACAGCATGAAACACATGCCCCAGGCCCCAGCAAGAAGCACTTATTCCCTTTCCAAAATCCAAATTGTGGTATATTGCTTTAAGCTTTTCACTGGAAAACAAAAAGCAAAAATTATCCTTCAACTATCCAAAATAGATGAAATATACCCTTTTGACTTTTTTTTTTTTTTCCTCAAAATTAGCCTTTCCATCTTACTATCGGATCAGTTGGAACACTAAAGATGTGTTTGGTACGGAGGAAAAACATTTTTCAAAAACTCTATTTCAGCTTTTAATTTTTTTTTCTTACCCTATCCATACCCCGTTCCCGACCATCCCCATTAAAAATAAAAAATTTAATTTACTTATTTTTAAAATTTCAAATATATTTTTATCTCTGCAACCAAACCCCCCCCCCCCCTCCTCCACCACCACCGTCAAAAATTATTTTTGGAAAATATTTCAAGTTTAAAAAATATATATATTTACGCCACCCGCACCCCTATCCCTACCCACTCCCCACACCCCCCATCCAAGCCATCCCCGTCAATTATTTTTGTTTTTTTTAAAAATATTTTTGAAAAATGGTTCAAATTTTTAAAAAAAATCATTTTAACGCCACCCCCTCCCCCAAGCCATTTCCATCAAAAAGAGTTTTAAGAAAAAATTGTTTTTGGGTAATATTTCAAATATAAAATGATTTCATTTTTTACGCTACCCGCCCCCGCGCACCAACCCCACCCAGGCAACCCTGTCAATTTTTTTAAAAGAAAAAATTGTTTTTAAAAAATATTTCAGATTTAAGAAAACATATATTTTTTATGCCACCCCCAGCTGCCACCCTACCCCTAGTCGCCACCCTCCCCCCATCCAGGTCTGGGTCGAATTTTGGAACAGTCATCGGGGTCTATCCTAGTTTGGTTGTCGGGTCCTATATCAATTATCGGGGTTGATTTTTGGATCAGAAATTATTTTCCTAAAAAGTATTTTTAGTCACAAGCCAAAAATAAAAAATATTTTCTGAAAAATATTTTTCATTTACCAACTAAACATTGAAAAATATTTTCCTGAAAATAATTTTCTACTCACCAACTAAATATGAGAAAATAAGTTAGAATCAACTTGTTTTCCAAGAAAACATTTTCCATGGACAACATTTTTCTTCATACCAAACACACCCTAAAACTCAATTTCATGTTGCGACTCTGAAAAAATAAAATAATTTATTTTCAATATCATCAAAAAAAATCCTTTCCGAGCAGAAAAAAGGGTGTGACATTGTGTGACAATATATGATTCTCAGGAGTTTTAGATTTCACAGTCTTTATGCTAATCCTCTTGCTCATGGGTTAAGAATAACTCAGTCAAAAAATAGAAAACTTAAGCAATAATGTTAGATATTAGAGATTCTAACACTGTTATTTATTTTAGTCTCTATTTTAAGAAATGTAGTAAGGATGAAAATAGGGTTATTAGAAAAGATTGGATATTATAATGGATGGGATGGGTGTGCTTAGGTGGACGTCTATGTGGCCTTATAGTTTACACATTGGATGTCGTCTTATTCTGTTAAAAGGAAGGGTAAAAGGGATCCAATAGAAAGACCGAAGGGACAGTTTTGAGCCAAGAAATAGTTGAAAAATATATTTGATCTATTTTAAATAGTTGAAAGGTAATTTTGACCCTTTTCCATGAACTTTTTAATGAACAAATCATTAAATTTGAAATATTAATTGGCAAAAGGTTAAAATTTCCCTAAATAAATTATAAGAAATCTATTTTCTTAAAATGGGTTGCAAATCTTACCGGTGTTACTAAAATGGCTTAAATTTTGTCAATTGGGCTAATGCACCTCATTTTCTGCCATTTATATTTTTAATTATTTTCTCTATCCGTATGAAGGAAAGCATTGACGTCATTGTCATGTGATTAGAGATGATAGTTTCAGTTTATATTTATAAAATCAGTTTATTTAATTTATATTTTAGTGAGTTAGATTACTTATATTTTAATTGGATAAATCTGAATTTTAATCTAATTTTTAACTCATAGAAATACGAACAAATCAATTAATATATATATATATATATATATATATATATATATAAAGCTGGAAAACAATACGTTGATATGGCATGCTTCATTGGCCTCTATTACTATTTATATCTATTTTCTTAGAATTTTGAATTCTTTCTTTTATTTTTTGTTAAAAAAACTTTTTAAACAGTTACTCTCTTTCCTTATTATAAGCATTTTTTACAGTTACCTTTACTATCAAAATAAATTATGTAACGGCTAAGAACATAGTGGTGCATTTATTATAATTATAACATGTAATTTCTCCAATTAAATTATTGTTAAATGTTATTGGAATTAAAATTTGATTAATTAACTCCATACAAATGACAGTAACGTTAATTTACTTTTATTACAAAATAAATGGTAGTTTAATTTGACAATATATTTAAAATTAAATTAGCAATAGGACGTTTTCCTAATCTTGTCTACAAATTAGCACTAATTAGAAAAGTTTAATTATTTTAATAATTGCAACATTAATGATTGTATTTAATTTCTAATAGCTATTTAAATTATGTTAATCCTCACTATTTTCTACAGCTAATTAAATTCCTTCCAAGGCTTAAAGGTACATATTCATTCTCTATCTCATTAACAACTTTTCTCTTTCATTTCACATATGTAATCAATTCTTGACTCTTCGATCTCTCTTCCTTTTTGGGATCATCTCTGACTACAAATGTCAAATCGTGGAGTGATATTCGGCTAAAGGTTTATATTTATATTACGTTATTGGCAAATAATAACTTATTGCTTTATTATTCTATGCATAATTATTTTGTTAGACTATTATTTTGAGTGTTTTGAGGTTATTATGAATTTTATGTGTGTAGAAAATGTATCAAATGAACATGATCGAAAAAGAGGTGATTCTGGCTCCTTTTTATTGGGAAAGACAAGACATTAACAAGAATGTCTGACACGACAACAATAAAATAATACCCAAGTCTAAACTTTCTCTTTCAATTTGAACCAAGAGAAGACAAACTAAATCAAGCAATACGAAGAATGGACAACAACTATATCAACCAAACTAAAACAATAAGACAAGAATAAACCAATCACCAAGACAAAGAGATTTACCTGGAAAACCCTTCGATGTGAAGGGTAAAAAACCGCAGGACCAAAAGCTCCACTATAAACACCAAGAATTACAAAATTGCTCTCCAAAATTGGCCACAAAACAAGTGCCAAACAACGATCAACAACAAAACAAGATTGCACCAAAACTAGAGAATTAAAGGAGATAATTCACCCAAAACCGAGCTACTGTTCACACCCCAACAAATGACGCTACAAACATCCAAATCCGATCTCCACCGTTGAATTGCAAGACCCCGATGCTGAGAACTCCCGATTCAAATTTGAGCACGGTTCGGTTAACGAAGCGGAAAACTCTCTTTGAAGCAAACTGCCTGGGCCAAAAATTTCCTGAAGCAAAAACAAGATCTTTCTCTCTTTCTCTCAATCACTAAAATGACTCTCTCTTGATTTTTTTCTCCTGTTTTTCTGAAAATAAGACCTAAATAAGTCTTATATATGCCACATAATATTGGGCTTATGGGCTAAAGTGGACGGTCCAAATAAGACTTTTATTTATTCAAATAGGAAGGGGAAAAAAGATCCTAAACCCAAAAATTATCCACCTCACAACTATGTAGAGGAGATCGTCATCCCGGCGATCATGCAACAATCCTCAAACTTCCCTCTTGGCAAAGCTTTAGTCATCATGTCGGAACCATTATCATTGATATGAATCTTTTCAAGTTCAAGCAACTAAAAATTCAACACATCTCGAATCCAATGATGCCTCACATCAATGTGTTTAGACAAATCATGAAATGTAGAATTCTTTCCTAGATGAATAGCACTTTGACTGTCACAATAAAGCATATACCTCTCTTGAGCACAACCAAATTCCCCCAAAAATCTCTTCATCTAGATCAACTCTTTGCAGCTTCAACATCAACAATAAGTTCAGCCTCTATAGTAGATAAATCTACATATTTTTGCAACCTAGATTGCCAAGACACAGCTCCCCTGCAAAGGTAATCAAGTAGCCTGAAGTAGACTTATGAGTATCAGCATCACCAGCCATGTCTAAATTAGTGTAACCACAAAGAATAGGCTTCCCTGTACCAAAACACAAACTTAAACTAAAAGTGCCACAAAGATATCTCATAATCCACTTTACAGCATTCCAATGCTCTATTTCCGGATTAAAAAGAAACGACTAACAATACCAACAACATGAGCAATATCTGGTCTTGTACACACCATTGCATACATCAAACTACCAACAACTGAAGCATAAGGAACTTTCTTCATATCTTCCTTCTCACCATCACTGAAAGGACAATGTTTAGTACTCAATTTGAAGTGCATAAATAAAGGTGTATTGACAACTTTAACTTTGTCCATGTTGAATCTACGAAGTACTTTCTGAATATACTTCTCTTGTGACAACCACAACTTCTTGGCATCTCTATCACAGACAATCTGCGTGCGAAGAATTTGCCTTGGTGGTCCTAAATTTTTCATAACAAAAGACTTATTCAACTCTTGCTTCAACTATTTAATCATGCAAGCATTATGATCAACAACAAGCATGTCATCAACATAAATCAAAATGATAATAAAGTCATTATCAGAGAATTTTTGCACAAAAACAAAATGGTCTGAAGATGTCTTCTTAAAGCCCTGCTGACTCATAAAGAACCAAACTTCCTATACCATTGTCTGGGAGCTTGTTTTAAACCATACAAGATCTTCTTGAATTTGTAAACATAATTCTCTTTTTCCTTGACTTCAAAGCCTTCAGGCTGCTCTATATAAATTTCTTCATCTAAGCCACCATGGAGAAAAGCAGTTTTAACATCCATTTGTTCAACCTCTAAATCAAGACTTGCAGCCAAGCCTAGAACCACACGAATGGATGGCATCTTCACAACTGGAGAGAATATCTCATCAAAATCAATTTCCTTTTTCTGGTTAAA